CAGCTGCCCCAGTCTTGATTATCACCTCCCTCCCTCTGCCCTCTAAATGGCTCTGGGGCTGCTGAGCTCCCCAGAGGATGGGTTGGGGTAGGGACCCAGCCTCATTGGCTTTGAGTCTTGGCTAGTAGCACCCCCCCACTAAGGACAGGGGTAGTGGTAAGGCTTCAGCACAATCTGTGGTATCACAGGGCTCACTGGTAGAGCAGGTAGCGTTTCATGGCAGAGGGCAAGGGGAGAGCAGATACCTGGCCAAGCCGAGTATCCCCCAGGGTGTGGCGCACACACAGGCGGCTCAGGTGCAGAAGGGAGTGTGGCTCCGCTGGGAGAGAGAAGGAGGGGAAGGTAAGTAGGGCTGCAGCCACCAGCCAGACATCCTTAAACTACAGGGCCTGCCCAGGTGCCCTTCTGCTTTCCCACTGAGTCTGCCCTCACCTTTGGTAGAAGGGAGATATTAAGGTACCCTGAAGTTCTGTGTGACAGTTAAGATTTCATACATCCCTAGTGAGAGCTGGGGGTGAAGCTCTAGCAAAGGCCCTCTAAATAACCGGCAAAGGTGGCTCTAACAGTGCTGGAGCTGACCCTACTTTGATTCCAGAGAGCCCTTGAAGCTTGGGCTAATGAGAGGAAAGATGACCTTCCTTTGCTATACAGTGGCTCACCACAGGTGATGGAAGTGCAGGCATCACCCACCTCCAAAGACAGAAACTGCAAAGAGCTGGCTTTAAGTCCTGGCCCTAGCCAGTTCCCAAGGAGGTCTTCCCTGCAGCCCCACCCCAAGGCCCTGTCTCCTCACTGCTCTCCTTCCTGGTGCCCAGGTCCCCACTGACCCCTTCCTGGAGCTTGACTGAGGAAGTAGGTATGTGGCACAGTAGGTCAGGGCCCAAGGAATCTGGTATATACTACAGGTGCCTAGCACTGCCAGTCCTCTTCCTTTTGGATCTGTACACCTAGCCCAGTACCCATTAACCCTTTGCACCTCCTGCTTGGGACTGTCTTGTAAGCCCTAATCCCTGGAGGACCTCCCTACATTCTGAGGATTCACTACTTAGCTAAGAAAACTTAAGTTTCTTCCCCAAGACTGTTTTTTACCTCTATTGCTGCTGGATTAAACAGATAACAGCTGTGAAAACCCTTAACTTTCCTGGCACCGAACAGGCATAGAAGGCAGGTCAAATGCAGACCTACCCCTCTGCTCTTGTCCGAAGTTGAGTTGTCATCCCAAAACCCTGCCACCAGCGACAGAATATTCTCCCCATACCTACCCTAGGCCTCACCTCTCCTTTCGCCAAGGTAGCGGATGCGGACCTGGCACTGGCCCCAGACAGCGCTTACTGCCGGATAGAGGGTCCTGCCCTTCAGTCCACGGAAGGCTGGCCCCAAGTAGGTGCCCCCAGTAGCGTAGCCCAGAGTTCCCTCCTCCATGTCCAGAATCACCAGCAATGTCTCTGGCACGTCCAGCTGCTCACCCTGAGGTCCGACTGGGTACTGGGGGGCCCCGGGCCCCTTGTTCTGATGGTACAGCTTCCCCCGCCCAATGTCCCAGCCCCACGACTCGCTGTTGCTGCCCAGCAGCGCCGCATAGTGGTCAGCCTGCAGCGGGGCGAGGGCCGTGGCCACACCCACCACAGCATGCGTGCCCCTCTGCTCCGGCGGCCAGCTGATCTCCCAGACGTGCAGGCCCCTGGTGTAGCCCCTCTTACCCCGGGCCCCATCAGTACTCTGGGCCACGGGCCGCCGCTCAAAGTACAAACCCCCTTCCTTGACCTCGATGTTCTCTGAACAGTCCTTGGGGTTCCAGCCGTGGCGCCGTTGGGCCCCCAGATCAGGAGGGGGTGCAGACAGCAGCTCCTCCAAGCCCTCGGGACAAGAGAGGTGAGGGCACAGGGCCTGTGGGGTGGGGGTGCTGCTGCTGCCCCCCGCCAGGGCCGTCTGGCCCATGGAAGCTAGGACTTGGCGGTCTCCCCGAAAGAATCTTGTGGGTCGTCTCTTTTCTGAAAGTTGAGTTCCAGTTCGGGACTGACCTGGAGGGGAAGTGAGAGACAAAGGGGAGTGAAGCGCAGAGTCCTGATGAGAGCTCCTCACGCAGACTCCCATCCTTTCAACGTCGTTTGCCGACTGGTCCTCTCCTCCCTCTTCGCTCCCCCAAGCTCCTAGGCCTATCATCCTGCTCTCACTCTCTCTGTCCCAGGCAACCAGAGACTCTCCCCAGTTTGTCCCCGTGAGCCTCCTAATGGGCCATCCCCCTTGCCAGCCCCAAGCCCCCGACTCCGCACCTCGCTTGGCTTCCCAGCCCCGGCGGTCACACTCCCTCAAAGGGAACCTGGCCGAAAGGAGCCCAGGCGGGCCAGGCGCAGACCGCCGGCCGCTTCCGCCTCCAGTACCGCCCCGGGCCGCGCCCACTCCCGGTCCGCACGAGGCCCTCTGGAGCGGTTAACCCTCTCGTCGCCGCGCCCTCTCATGCCCCTGGGGGGACCCCTCCGCCCAGGACGCAGCCGCGGAGAGAACGCCCGGCCCCCGTGGAGCCCACTCAGGACGGTTATCCACGGGTCACCTCCGAGGCCACGCCCCCATGGGGATGCCTCTGTGGGGAGGTTAGCTCTTCCCTAGCAGCCAGGAAGTCGGCACCCCGGAGCTGTCACTTCAGTATTGACCCTTTGATGGCCTCATCACCTTCGGGTCACTGGGATGTATTCTCCACCCACGAGACCTTTGGGCAGCCTGAACAACCAACTCACTCCGGCTCAAGAAGATAAGGAGCACAGAGTCACGAAGGGGCTTCCATTGTGCTGACATGGATTTTCGTTAGCCTGTGATTCTAGGTGATTGTTCCTGGGCTTGGTTGCTTCTGCACCTGGTTGTGAGTCAGTCTGAGGTTCTAAACTGTGTGTTTGGGAACAATGATGGTGCTTACCTTAGAGGTTGTTGTGGTGTTAAAATAACCCAGGTAAAGCACACAGCACAGAGCTTGGTACACA